ATTACAAGATAAGAATACCTATAAATGTATTATAAGGCTATAAAGTATCTAATAATAGAAATAAATGCTAATATAAGTATATTATATATTAAAATAAAGCTAAAAATCACGTGATTTAAATATTTAAAAATAACCTTAAAATGTAGGTATTAAGCGCGATATTAAGCTTTAAAGTTATGTCTTAAAATAAAAAGTAAGTAAAGCGGGGCGAATTTTCAATTGCTTATAACTTCTTAATGTAGTAACTTATAATAGTAAAAAGTGGGGCATTTTAAAGAGCTAATTTAGCTCTTTTAAATGATATAAAACTTTTCCTTATAACTCTTATAATTAGCCTTATAATTTTAAGTTAAAAAAATAAGGGTCTTTTTTCCTTAAAATACATTTATAGGTATTTTACTAATGTAATGTAATGTATTTAAATACAATACATGAAAATACAATACAATACAAAATACAATACATAATACACTTGTATTTACTATATTTGTAAGAGCTCTAAGCGCTACTATTATTAACCCCTTTACTCTTTAAGCTTACGAATAATACGTTAAAATCTATAATACTATAAGTATAGGTAAGCACCTACTCTCTTTAAGTACACTTCTTAATAACTATAGCGCTATATATCTTATTAATAACGTTAACCTTCTTAAGCCTAGCTTATATAAGAAAATTAAGAGCGAATTTATAAAGGTAAGCGTAAGTGTTACGAACGACACTATATAAGACACGGGACGGGACCGTACCGGCTAGGATAGACACGACCTGTGGGCACAAGAAAAAGGTAAGGGCACGTGATTAGCTACGTAACCTAAGAGGCGATTAAAGAGGTTAATATTTAAATATATTAATTAAAGAGAATTAAACTAATTAAACCTTAAGTTAATTAATTAAATACACTTATGTTTACTATATTTGTAAGAGCTCTGGTTATAATAATCTCTAATAACACTAAATTTTATAAATAAACTAAGTATATTTAAATTTTATACTATAAGATATAAGAGCTTATATAAGAAGATATAATAAAGGTTAATTAAACTTTTAAAAAGGAAAACCTAATAGATTTAAGAATAAAAACGCTATTATAACTAAAGTTAAAGAAGTAAGCTAAGTTTATTAGCTTAAAGTAAAAGAAAGAAAAGAAGAAGAAAACTATTACTTAAAAGAATAATACTAGTAAAGAACGTTACGTTAATAGTTATTAATTATTACTCTTTTTCTTATAAGATTTTAATAAGAGTAATAAAATATATATACTAGATCTTAGTAAATAAGCCTTTATAATTACATTAAAAAGGGGTGTTTAATTTCCATAATTAATTATAATTACTTTAACTAGATTAATAGGTGGGGTGTATATTAGGGCTCATACCGCCTATAATGTGTACCGGTGTAACTTGTACTTTTCATCCCATATAACGGGACAATACATACAGTTGCAACAGCTCGGTAGAGGCGGCACACTTTCCTAGTAAAATGGTCTGACGCCACTATGACCTGGGAGCCAAGAAAACACATTATAGACAAAAGAATGCTCAGTGAATTTGAGGCAAGCTGGCAAGGTTTTGACGCCGGTGTAGATGTTTTGGGAAGCCGATTAAGAGCTGGAAAGCGCCAACGCCTTATACACTGGCATGGTCGCCCGACCAAAGAGGACACGTGGGTAGACGATAAGCTTCTAAGCTCAAATCTCCTGGGGAGGTTGCTGCTGGCGATTTG